GATGGGTGGATGGATGAATGAGTGGGTGAGTGAATGAATGAATGGGTGAATGAATGAATGGGTAGATGAATGAATGGGTAGATGACTGAATGAGTGGGTGAGTGGATGAATGAATGGGTGAATGAATGAATGAATGAATGAATGGGTAGATGAATGAATGGGTAGATGACTGGATGGGAGGATGGATGAATGGACAGGTAGAATATAGATTCAAAAAACAGACGGACAACTGCAATGTACATAAAGAAATGGCATGTATGTATTCACACGCATACATACATGCTGTGCACGGGCACACGTGGAAGGGAGAGGCTGACATCAGGATGTCTTCTGATAAAGTAAGAAGTGAGAGGAGAGAGGGGGCCCTGGGGACAGACAGACAGACTCACAGGCGAGCCACTTGCTCACAAGGAGACATTTACTGGTTGGTTGTTCCCTTTTGCACAGTGTGGAGATACCCGACACGGACTATCCGATTCTGTCTCCACAGCCCCTATGTGCTGACTCCGTTTACTGTTCCTATTCTGCAAACGGTGAGACAGAGGCTCGAAAGAATTCTTGCACTCCTTTAAATTTAAATTAAATTTATTTTTGCTTGCATAAGGTTGCGTGTGTGTTGATGTGTGTGCATATACTTGTGTATATGCATGTGTGCACATATACTTGTGTAAGTGTGCATGTGTGTTCACATATGCACGTGTGTGTGCGTATGTATACACATAGGCCAGAGGTGAACGTTGAGTGGCCCTCCACCACTCTGTCTTTTTCGTGTGCGGCTATGATTAAAAACACTCTGAGCTGCCAGGGATGGTTGTGTACGCCTTTTAGTTCCAGGCCAGCCAGAGCTATACAGCGAGATCCAGTCTCAAAAAAAGACAAAAAAACTAATAATAAATAAAATGCTGACTAAAAGCAAGGTGGAGAGGAAAGAGATTTATTTGGCTTTCAGGGAACAGACCATCATCATGAAAAAAGTCCTCCAGGCAGAAATGGAAGCATGGGCCATGGAGGAACACTGCCCGCTGGCTTGTTCTTTATGAATTGCTCAGCTAGCTTTCTGCTACAGCCCAGGACCACCTGCTCACAGTGGATTGGGCGCTCCCGGATCAATAAGGGATCAAGACAATCCCCCCAGCCCCCCTCCCCTCTGCAGACATGCCTGTGGGTTAAGGCGGTAAGAGGGAGTCCTCAGCTCAGTCTCCCTCCTCCCAGGAGTAGCCAGGCTTGGGCCAAGTTGACAAACACTATAACAGTCCTCACATGTAATATTTCGAGGCAGGGTCTCTCACTGAACCTGGGGTTCGTGGGTTCAGCTAGACTGGCTGGCTAGCAGGCTTCGAAGATCTCCTGTTTCTGTCTCCCAATGCCGGAATCCTAGGCGCGCGCTTCCCTACCTGGCTTTTTGACATGAGTGGTGCTAAGGACCTGGACTCAGTCCCTCACGCTTGTGCAGTACTGACCGAGCCATCTCCCCAGACCCTAAACTTATTTGTGACTGACTGATAATTGCATAAAAACATCAAAACTGTGCATACTATACTAGGTGATTTTTTATATGTATATTGTACCGTGTTCAATCACGGTAAACATAGGTCATTCTTCAAATGATTTAACATTCATAATAAAAAGTGTCCCAAATCTTCCCCTGTTATCTTTTTAAACAAACTGTAGCATCTGTAGCTACAGCTGTCCCGAGTATGCCACAGTATCCTAGAACTTCTCTCCATCATTCAGCTTTGGCTTGGAACCCTTTGGTCAACCTTGCCCAACTCTGGGTCCCCCCACTGCCACCCCTGTGCCCAGGGTCTCATTGTTGCCATACAAAGAGGTCATGAAATGGCTTTAGTAAGCACATGTGTGCACTGAGACACCCAGTGTTTGCAGTCTGGTCTCCCTGATGTCCACGACATCTCTCTGGGGGACAAAGGGGAGTACTACTTTACTAAAATCCCCATTTTTGTAATTGAGCATATAAAGACCGACACAGAAGATCTGTGGCAGAGCAGAGTCTAGAATGAAGTCTGTCTAGGGCAAGAATAGCTTGAATTCACAAGGCTTTCTGCTTCCTCCACTCCAGGCTCCTTCTTGGTCAGTCTATTGCTCGGAACTATGGCGCCATCTCGTGGTGACTGTTAATACCACTTTCACCATGCCCTCGAGCTAAATGTAACTGTCCTGCCAAAAAGGAAGGCAGGGACTGTTAACAGTAACAAGACCTATGTGCTTAGACAAGGAAAACAATTTGTTACTGAAACATGACCAGGAACCAGGGGCAGTAACACAGGCACCATCTCCCATCTCTTGGGCTTCAAGGCCCCAAGGAGAAATATTTTTGGAGTGAACAGCTTCATCAGAATCTGAGAGAGCAGCAACAATGTAACTGGTCCCCAAAGTCACCATCCTGCTAGACTTCACAAGGCATCTAAGTAGCTGCTAGGATGGCCTTTAAAACTGTGTCTTCCGGTAGATATCGGTGGAATTTTCTGTCTATACATACAGTTCTTTTGTTGTTTATTTGGTTTTGAAGCCCAGCATTGTGGGAGGGGATCTTGAACTTGCTTATGTATCTGAGGCCAACTTTCAACTCCTGATTCTCCTGCCTCTACTCCCTAAGCATTGGAATCACAGGTGTGTGTACCACTATATCCAGTTACCTAGCCCTTATTTTAAATAACAAAATCCTATACGAGCAAACCACAGGCCATATTTAGGCTAAGAAGTCAGAGTTTGGGGTCTCCTGCTAGAGGGGGGGGGTTAAAGAAGATGAGTTTTCTAGTCTTTCCAAACGAATACACCAGGAGGGCAGATGAAGGGTGATGACTTCAGCATCTATTATTTAGAAAATGCCATTGGGTATCTTTTTATGGGACGAGAACATGTGTGTGGGGGGAGGCTTCACACAGTATAAACTAGGTAGTATGTGTCCCCTCCAATGCTTAGACCTTCTCTCACTGAGAGCAGCAGCTACACTGTAGCCAGTAGCTTGAGGCCTTCCCAGAGATATTAGTCAAGCACCAGCAAGGGATGGCGATTTACCAGCAGGATATCTGTGTGTGCCCCATGCCAGGCATCGCAATACCCTAGCGGTTCTCAGCCTTCCTAATGTTGCAACCCTTTAATGTGTATGCCCTCATGTGGTGGTGACCCTCATCCCCCAACCATAAAATTATTTTCAGTGCTTTGTTACTGTATATACCTCGGGTATAAAATAATTCACGTATTCTGCTACTGTTCACTAATTATAATGTAAATATCTGACACACAGGATATCTGATATGTGGCCCCTGTACGAGGGTCACATGACCCCTGAAAGGGGTCACACCCACAGGTTAAAAAACCACTGGGTTACCTGGGCAGTGGTGGCGCACGCCTTTAATCCCAGCACTTGGAAGGCAGAGGCAGGCGGATTTCTGAGTTCAAGGCCAGCCTGGTCTACAGAGTGAGTTCCAGGACAGCCAGGGCTACACAGAGAAACCCTGTCTCGAAAAACCAAAAACAAAAACAAAACACTGGGTTAGAAGGAGGGTAGAGGACATACTAAGTGCATGTGCCTTCTTGAGACAAAGACATCTTCAGCCCCAAAGTCCCCAAGAATCTAGACATAGAGGTGATAAGGGAGAACAGGCTATCAGTGATTTATAATACTGGTTTTAAGGTGTTGGGGACCAGCAAGATGGATAAAGGGGCTTGCCGCCAAGACCAATGGCCTGAGTTCAAGTCCTAAGATCTATACATGGTAAAAGAGGGGAACTGAATTTCAAAAGTTGGTCTCTGGCCTCTGTGGACATATGCATACACACACACACACACACACACACGCACGCACACGCATGCACGCACGCACGCACGCACACACATGCATGCTAAATAAAATGTAATCTTAAAAAGTTATGTATTGAAGGGAGCAGCTGTGGAAAGGAAGTAAAACTTGTTCATAACGAATGGACAAATTCTAGAGGTAGCAAGCGGGAGAGGGACCTATAAGACAGAGGACTGAGATGAAGTGTGTGGGAAGCAGGCAAGTCCAGGCCATTTGTACAGCATTTGAACCTGGGAGACGTAGCTAGCACACTCCACGCCGTGTGAGAGATGGCAGCGGCATCTCTTGTAAGATTCTGACAAGAGCTCAACAATGCTGCTTCTGCTTCTGTGTGGTAGAAGTCCAGAAAGAAAGTCAGAAGAAAGCTGAGAAATTGTCAAGCCTGGGCTGCTCCCTTTGAACACCCTTGAACTATTCAGTTATGGAAGCTAGCACACTCTTTCTGCTTAAACCAGATCTAACTTGTTTTCCTTTACTCCCAACAAAAAGATGCCCAGTGAGTGCAACAGGAGAGAGAGAGAGAGAGAGAGAGAGAGAGAGAGAGAGAGAGAGAGAGAAGAGAGAAGGGAGGGAGGAGGAGGAGAAAGAGAAGGAGAAGAGAAGAAATATATGTATGAGCATAGCTGAATCCTAGGACACTCTCCCCCAC